GCCATATTCTCATTGATGTACAAGTGTGGAATGTAATGTCCGTGAGATGTGACTGAAAGAGCACTGGCTCCATGGAGGATGCCATTTCCATGCTCAGCATTGTATTCCTGGTACCTTGACAAGCAACACAAGTTGTAAGACAGAAAATTGAAAAAAAAAAAAAAAAAAAAAAAAAAAAAAAAAAAAAAAAAAAAAAAAAAAAAAAACACACACACATATATATATATATATATATATATATATATATATATATATATATATATATATATATATATATAACAGTGTTATTTATATATTTTAATTTCCCTTACACTGAGTTGTAAGCTACCTAAAGAAATGATATGGAGTCTGTGCAAAGAAAACATTCTATTACCATCTGGATAATGCAAATCAAATGGCAAATACTGATATTAGAAAATGGCAAAAAAGTTAAAAATGCTTATGCATAAAAAGAGGAAATAACATTGCAAACAGAGTCTTATCACCACACAAACATGTTCACATGCACCCAGCCTTCAAGCTGGCACCCAGCAGAGAGGCCACTCAAGGCTAATGCCCAGATTTTTGGTGATGTAACTGCCATGACACAACAAAAAATAAATAAATCTAAATCTAAATCTAAATCTATATATATGCATATAATTTGTGATAACCTTTCAGAATATACAAACAACAGTTTTTTAAACTAAACATGGCTCCAACTGATGTGTGAAATTACATAAATAAATAATCCAAATTCCCTTCCACCTTGTACACAATAATACTTTCTTTGAGACTTGTAACATATGGAAAGCACACTCTCACTGAGCTCACTTTAACATTTCACTTTATTTTGGTTTCCCTATGTGCAATTATAACATGTTAGCTTATGTTTGTTGCTCAATGTTTAACCTATATCACTGTATGTGTACAATGGCTCAAAGGGATAAGGCTTCCAAGTGCTGATGCTGATGAGTTCCTATACCCTAGTGGGATAGTGTTATAGTGGGATGTGGCAACCTAGAGAACCCATAAGTTGTGGCTACATGTCAGAGGATATCTGCCCACATATTTATTATTATTATTACATTATGTGTAATCAATAATAGGTCTAAAATTCTGTATTGAGTTTCATTACGATATAAAAATTCTCATTTCAAAATACAGTTCTCTTTTCTAGATATCTAATCTGAAAGTTAACACTGCATTTCGATCATAAAAAATTCCTTCCAAATGTTACCAGCAAGATATTTCCTTGATATCTGAAAATAAATCTAAATGTTATACTAACCTGAGTGGGGAGCCCATACTCCAGATCTAGAAGGCAGGTCTGGCATACATTCTTGATTTTGGCACATGTCTGGCACACCTCTGTCTTCTTGAATCTCATTCTCGCTCCTGGACACCTGTAGAGAATTTGAGTCAATTGATCATGTAATGCCCAAAATGGTATTGCTCTCTTTACAAATCAGTTATCAGTTCCAGATGCAATCCCAAAATGGAACGATTTTACAGTTGTGCTAAACTGTATCTAATTTTGATAGACAATGGTATTGGTAACTTAATTATATAGTTTCACATATTTACAACATTCTTCCACTTCTACAGAGATCAGTAGTATTTTCAGCAAAGATGTTTTGTAAAAATCTGTTCAACAGAAAATCATCTATACCTACAAAATGTTCACTAGTCTAGGCAGAAAATATTTTGACAATGAAGAAGAAAGTTATGTCATAAACATATACAAGACACATGTTTAATCCATTGGATCTGGGTGACAGGAATGTCTCATCATGAAAAAAAAATTAGCTTAGTGGCAGGTAACAGGAATGTGTCATGGAAAAAAAATGGTTGAGGGCCAGGGTGATGAGAACATTTTGTCACAAGATATTGATGGGAAGTGGCAGGTGACTGGAAAAGTACCAGTTCAAGGACACTAATTGAATTGAACATAACCAAAATATATAACAACAGCACATGTAACATAATGTCACTTATTGTTATTGTTGCTGCAAAGCATTATAGATTACTTAGAGATATAATATGGAGTTTGTTCAACAAAAAAAGTCTATTACCATCTTGACACAGTATGAAAAATATTGACCTCTGAAAATGGCAAAACCACAAAAAAAGTGTTGGAGTGTAGTGTAGGCCAAACACACAAGACATACACAGTTAAAACTTGAGTAAGCAACTTATTTGTCCCATTAGAGCTAAAAATTACTGCAGGGCTGACATTTTGTAAAATTTCTAATAAAGTTGAGAATACAAATAAAATGGGGAACAAAAATTTAACAGGTTCTATCACTGTGATGACATCCTGACTCATGGGATAATCTGCCACTTCATGATTATCAGATTATCCCTCAAGTCAGGATGTCATCACAACATGTGCAGTTAACCCATTCACGCCGGGTGTCACGTATACGTGACGGGCCCACTGCGAGTTTACTTGTTTAATTGTTTTCACACATAGATGGCTACACTTGTACTTGTACTGCCTGTGTCATCTGTTTACCCTTTTCTTTAATTTACGAAAATATCTTACGATATCTTATTTTGCTGTTACTAATGTTTATAACATTATAGTAATTATAATGTTTATAATAAAAATAACCATCGATATTCATAGCACTAATAAAGATACATTTTCCCGCCAAATGAAATCAGGTAAGGCAGAGCCATCTAGTGTAGAGACATTTCATTAAAAAATATAAAAAATGAGCACAGCATTTTCCCCATTTTTTGTTCATTTTTAGCCTGCACTAAGTTGTGTATGCTAAACGCATTATCATTATCATTACCATTATCATTATTATTGCTATATTCATAATCATACTTTTTTTCAATATTCAAGGAATGACATGGTCAGACTGGCCTTGTAATTGACTCCTAGGTGATTATGCAATTGTAATGTTATCCATATTGTACAGATCACACATGTACAAGACACATGCACTCCCAGTATTAATGGGTTAAACCTAAACACATTAGTATTTAATTTTACTTGAAAACCAAAGAGATTACAAACCATCTAAAGACAGTGAAGGGTCGTGTGCATATCTTGCACTCCTTGCCGTATCTGTCCCTCATCATTCGCACATAAGGATTGTCGCCCAGGCATGTCTGGCATAGGATTGGAAAATCCTGGAAGACAAGAAATGTTAACAATATTTTATTCTATATGTTCTTTTTAATTGGTTTTGATTTAGCTGCATAAAAATAACAGACTAAAAATGTATCATGAATTACATTTAAAACCTAACGCATGTGATATCAAAGATAAATTACACTAACATCACACAAATAGACTTTATTGCAATTTCTACTATGCTACACTCCCTATAATGCTCCTTACAGAGGTATTATATGAAAGTTCAATAAATGCTTGGGGTGTCAATGCATGAACAGTACCATGACAGTGGTATGTTGTCAAGCAATTACCATGACCTCCATGCCAACAGCACTCTATCAAAAGCAAGCAATCTTTCATCATGTATATCATCATGTATATCATTATGTATATTCTGACAAGTTAAAGCTTGAATTGGATTCCTGTTGGTATGTTTTTAGAACAGGTCTGCATCTTAAAATCCATTAAAATTGGTATCAATGGACCCTTGATTAATTCTACTAACCAAATATTGCAGTAAAAGTTAATTGCACCTATAAATAGGTACAATATGAAAAGCAAAAATCTCCCACAATTTGTACAACCTGGAACTAAAGTAATGCAAGATGTTCACTTCACAGAGCCTCCACCCCTGCTGAGTTGTGATGGGACTCACAAGGCACATCACTTACACCTGTCTGCAATCTATCTTGCTAGTCTGATGTGGTGCTTTTGCAATTGACCCTTTTATTATGTAGCCATTCCCATTTAAATCCAGGTGATGTGGACATCTTGCCATGAAAGAATTTGGCCGAGAAACGGATATAGAAACATCTCCTCAAGTAAATTTTTTTAGCTGAGGGCCAGTTGACGAGAAAGTTTGTCATGAAAAAAATTTGGTCAAGGGGCAGGTGATGGGAATATCCCATCATGTGAAATTGTTCCAAATTGTTGGCTGATGGGAAAATCTTGTCATAAGTGCACAAAACACTTGGCCTGAGATTGACTCAGCAGACCTTCAAGAAGGTGCTTATATGTGACCTCTTGCAGGGTGAAGTATACCGTCCATTAAGCATGCCTGGGAGAGGGCCGCTCCAGGGAGGACATTACGTGCAGGAAACTTTCCTCTACATTGTTACTGGCGGTGTAGGGTGTATAAATCCGGGAAGGATAAGAACTGATAGAAGGGGAAGGGTTTAAGACAAAAGGTGCTTAGATCAAACGGAGGGTATTTGTGCATGTGAGGAAGGAGAACTGGCTCTTGATTGAAAACATCAGGGATTCTGCACAGATGTTCGACAGGTGGGGGAGGGAGGTCAGGGAAGAGAGGTCAAGTAAGGAAAACTGAGGGTATGGGCTTCAGTAAAGCAGGGGCAGAATAGTAGGATATGTGGGACTAAAAGAGGAACATTGTATGTGGAGCATAGAGGTGGGTTGGAGTGTGATATGAGTCGGGTGTCATGAGTCAGCAAGTCAGGTGTAACCTATCCAGCATCTGTTCTGGTGGTTGAGGTCGACAAAGGAGAGATGGAAGGTTTCATGGTTTATTGGTGGTCAGCCTTGACCAGAAAGGTTGCCAATAGTTATAGAGGAAAGTTTTGGAGTGGGGGTAGTAGTTGGATGCTGGAATATGTGAAAAGCCGGGTTGGTGCTTTGTGGATAAGGCGGCAGACTGTGCCAAGGAATCAGCCTGTTCATTGTTGGGGATCCCAACATGGCTAGGTATCCAGCAAAACTTACTTTACTGCTTATTTTCAGGTAAACAGAAAAAACAACTGGTCTTGTATCTTATGGACAATAGGGTTGATAGGGTGAATGGACTGTATGAGTGATACTGACTTGCTGAAGTCATTGAAGATGGTGAAGATGAGGAAAAGATGGAAGACATGCATTGTAAAGCAAAGAGGATAGCATATAGTTCTGTTGTATTCAGGAGGAAGGGGAAAGTTGTATGTGTGAAAAGGAAAGACTACCTTCCCCTCCTCTCCATGTTTATCTACCCCTTTCCCAATTCTTACGGGATGCTCTGTGATTGTCTGAGACTGTTATTATGGGGTACAATATTCACAATTTTAAATAACTTCTTTGTCTACTGTTTGCAACATATGCTAGCAATGAAAAGTGTAAAAGAATTCATTGTTTTCCATCAAAAATAACATAAGTGAAAGTAACTATATATGCCCTTAATGACGGATGAAAAAAAAACAAAAAAACTCTACGCTTTGGAGATCAATGGCAACGCGCCAACTTTGAGCATGGGAGTTCAGCAGATCAAGCCAAATCACTGGTTCGTAACGCTTTGGTGCGTCACCATGGCGTATAGCCGCATGCCACAAATCGAGCAGTTTGTCATGTCTCCTCAAGGTGAGACCCATCGGGAAGGGGTTAACCCATTGCCGCCGGGGATGGAATGTACGTACATGCCATGCTCACTGTGAGTCGACTTGTTTGACTGTTTTTACACATAGATGGCTACACTTGTACTAAGTCACCAGTGAGCCAATTACGAGTACTGCCTGTCTCGCCCATTCACCCTTTTCATCAATTTACGAAAATACTTAACGTTATCCTAATTTGTTGTTAAAAATAACACCATCTACATTTATAGCACTAGTAAGAATACATTTTTTCCTGCCAATTCAAGGGAAGGTGAAATCAGGACTAGCAGAGCTATCTATGTATATTTCAAATGAGATATTTCAAAAAATATTAAAAATGAGTACAGCTTTTTCCCCATTCTTTATTCATTTTCCCCGGCGGCAATGGGTTAAGTTTAGAAAATGACCACACCCCTATGATACCAAGTCCTTATTACACCAATCACTTTTGGAAATCCACAAACATTGGTGAATGAAGCAATAACTTTATGTATCCAGTGGCTTCACCCCCCAGACTCCCATCCTATCACTGTATTTCCCTTTTCGTAGTTCTGCTTCCAGATCCCCACCTAATCATTGTGGACTTCCTCGCCGCACAGCATTTGTCAATCATTTATGACATTATTCTTTGTCTGCACACACTATTTCATGTATCAGTAAGAATAAATTTTCCTTCTTAATAATAATAATAATAATAATAATAATAATAATAATAATAATAATAATAATAATAATAATAATAATAATAATAATAATAATAATAATAATAATAATAATAATAATAATAATAATAATAATAATAATAATAATAATAATAATAATAATAATAATAATAATAATAATAATAATAATAATAATAATAATAATAATAATAATAATAATAATAATAATAATAATAATAATAATAATAATAATAATAATAATAATAATAATAATAATAATAATAATAATAATAATAATAATAATAATAATAATAATAATAATAATAATAATAATAATAATAATAATAATAATAATAATAATAATAATAATAATAATAATAATAATAATAATAATAATAATAATAATAATAATAATAATAATAATAATAATAATAATAATAATAATAATAATAATAATAATAATAATAATAATAATAATAATAATAATAATAATAATAATAATAATAATAATAATAATAATAATAATAATAATAATAATAATAATAATAATAATAATAATAATAATAATAATAATAATAATAATAATAATAATAATAATAATAATAATAATAATAATAATAATAATAATAATAATAATAATAATAATAATAATAATAATAATAATAATAATAATAATAATAATAATAATAATAATAATAATAATAATAATAATAATAATAATAATAATAATAATAATAATAATAATAATAATAATAATAATAATAATAATAATAATAATAATAATAATAATAATAATAATAATA